ACCTGGTCTCTTGGACTCACAGAGAACTCATTCAGGTCAATGTTATTTTTCAATCATTTCCATGAGTCTTGCTGGTGAGTATGTACATTTAATGTCCTCTCATGTCTGGAGGTAGTATATATTCTGAGCCAGTGTGTCCAATAACTCACGGAATATCTGGGTACCTCCTGTTCCCCAAAGTGTACCCTTAGAAATGGCAGCACGCCAGACACAAGAAGTCTTGAGCAAGCTGTGAGTGCACACCTTGGCTCATCTCACGATCTGTCCTCTCCAGGACCTTGTCTCACCCGAGGTCCATGGCTGAAGGAGAAGTACCTGAAGTTAGCACAGAGAATTACACCAGAGATTGAGTTTCTGTGCTATGACAACCTGAGCTAGCTTTTGTCCAAGGGAAGATGAATGTCAGCTGGGTTGGGTTTGCATCTACTTCACTCCTTAGAAACCACCACATTCATGAGATATCACTACAATGTCGAAACAACAAAATACTCGGTTACCATCTAGAGTCTGCGGTATGTTAAGAATTGCTTTCATTTTGTCTCTGACACTAAGGAACTGCAATATGGCTTTCTGGCTGCCTATTCTTTTATCAGTTGGATAGTTCGGGTTTATATTGCAGCAAAAGCCAACAAATCACATGCTGCTTGGTATATCTGTTTGCCTGCCTCTGTGCTACAAAAAATCATCTCTTGATATCCGCCCCCCACCCTGCCTTCCATCTTTCCATGATGCCCTGGATGGCATGCATTACAGTGTCCCATATTCCACCAATGGGTTCATATGTCTAGTTTTCATTATGTGAACAATTTAATGCCATTTGAACGTTCAACTCATGGGACTCCTTCTAGGACCTATGATCATGTAACATTTAAACTGGTTAAACTGGGGAGGAAATAGTACAAAGGAATAAGTCTGGTGCTGAGAATACCCAAGAATAGTTTAATTGTCCTAAAAGGAATGACTTCTGTGAGCTGTTGCATCCTCTGTTCCTGAAGGCGCAAGAGGACACAGCCGTTATGAGCACTGGAAGAACTTGAGATGGGTCACCTCCCAGATTATGGGCTGGGTCCAGGGGTGCAGCCAGCTGAAGCATCTTTGCAGGAACTGGGGAAGAGGAAAACCACTTTGACCTCATTCTCTTCCCAGCCAATGACAATCACTCATTAATCCCTTCAGCAGATAAAGCACAGGAGCCCACAAATGCTATTATTATGTTAATACATTGAGTTTCCTGGAGTAATGAGGAAGTTAAAAGGGTGGAGAATGGATTTGGAAAGACAAAAGAGAAATATTCAGCATATAACAAAATGTTGGTATTGAACTTATGTGCTTTAACATACCAATATACACATGTGACTATATCTGGAACATGTAATCTATGTGTGCACATACATTGAGTTAAATTCTACACAACTCAAGAGAGAATGAGGATAAAAATTATGACTGACTACATTTTTACCAGGGAATCACAGTCTCTAGATTATTTTTGTTCATCATCCTACAGGTTTTTTGTGATTCTACAGGTTTGCTGAATTGTCTTATTAATTATTCTCCCAAGCTTATGAATTCCTGAGGGGTTGCAGAGATCTACAACTCTGGGGAGATAAAATCTGATATTAAAGATTCTGGGACAGGCAGACTTGACTTCTGCAGAGGTGATGATGGTGTTGCAGAGAATTTTAGGTAAGTTGCCTAATTCAGATATTAGTATTCCACTGCTTTCTTACAACCAGCCCAAGGATCATTGACAGCCTAAGATGTAAGTGCTAAAGAAGGGACCTCTTTGAAAATGTCTTTATCACCTTCACTTTCTGAAACTGATGAAAGATCAGCAAGAGAAGGAGCATCTTTCACTATTAGAGACAAAAAAGAGCAATTGATGTAAATAGGACAAAGATGGGGGAAAAAAAAAACTAAATACACAACAAAAAACTATTAAAAACCACTCAACAAAAAAAAGTCCTGTTAATATCAAAGGAGCATCTTAGGTGACAGAAGGAAGGAAGGAACAGACACAACTAGAGATTACTGATCTAAAAGACAAAAAATTTCCTGATAAGCTTCAACTGTCTTTTAGTTTCATATTCTTTTAGAAAAAAACAAAGACATGAGCCCTTGACAAGAAGACAAGAGAGACTCATTTCTAATTACCAAAAGTCATATTTTAATAATTTTGTATAGAAAATGCATTTAGTTTATAATATAAAAACAAAACATTAATTAAGAAGTATAACATGTTAGGTGACACCAGATTCTCCTAGTATTCTAGTTTTGATTAGTAAATACAGAACTATTCAACCAGTCTCTACCTAAGCAATATTTACTTTGTAGTAGACAAGGATGTTACAGTCCTATCCAAAGAAAAACATCCTATTCTCCTCATCCACTGACTAGATGGCCATTTGGGGATTGAACAAAGACCTTTATAATTACATGGCTTTGAGTTCTACTACACCTTAAAAATAAACACAAACCCTATATTCTGGGTTTTGTTGTATATCAGCTTGGCTAGGAATTCAAACTTGAGAGATTATCATTTGTTTTGTTTAGAGCTTTATTGAGAATTAGTTACCTGGTCAGAAAAATCTTACCAACAATATAAAAACTCTTCATGTTGAGGTCACAAATGCTTTCTTACTGATTCTGCATACACTTGTAGCTGATTAAGTGATCTGGTATGTACATATTGAAATTCACATAATTTTATAATAAATCCATTATTACCACCGTATAATAATTACATTATGAACTGCTTATTTATCATCTTTATGTTATACTTAGGATATTTTCTATACATATATATTTATAGATAATGTTGACTATTTTAGGACTATAAAGGAAGTATTGAAATGTTGGCCAAAAAATTAACATTTTCACATAGCAAATAATACTACAGATAATATCAAATTGTGATAAGTGACTTTGTAAGCATTGTGCATGGCTAGTGATAAAAACTAAGATAAAAGTATGTCATTGTTTTCAGACCCAGAAGACTTATAATGACATCACGTATTTTTTTTTTCTTTGACATAACCAGATTTTTAACTGAATGGAGATTTATCGGGGTCCATTCTGAAATTTCATCCTGATTATCAATCTGCCTCTCTCCCTTTGTCAAAGATCCCTGCATAGTAGCTCAGGCAGGAGAGAGCGTCTATATTTGTGAATGGGGAAGGTAAAATTTTGCCTTAGTATTTTCAGCTGAGAATTATATTGTCAAAAGATTTATTTACAGGAAAAAATCACAGAAAATTATTTAACATAAGCATTATGTGAATATGAAAATTCAATAAAGAACCAAAGAAAAAATAAAACCCAAATGTTCTTATAGTATATTGGATATAAAAGAAGCAATTGTGCAAATGTAACTCAGATACATAGGTAGGCTAAAGAAAGAAAAGAATAACTTTAAAGAGAAGAGCAAAAATTTGAAGGAATCACAGCAAGGCTCAGGCCAAGAGCAAGCATGAAAAATAGATAAATTGGACTTTACAAGTTTTAGGACTTTTGTACATTGAGGAGTCCATCAAGCAATAAATAAGCAGCCCAGAGAATAGGAGAAAATGCTTACAATTCATGCATCTATAAAGGAATTATGTCCAGAATATGTAAAAATATACAATTCAACAATGAAAAGACAAAACCATTCATTAAGAGGTGAGCCAAAGATTTAATAGATATTTATCCAAAGAAAATACTCAATAAACATCATTAGTCAAGAAAATGGAAATGAAATAAACATCATAAGTAAAGAAAATGGAAATGAAAACCACAGGATCACACTACTTCACAGCATTAAGCATCTACAGAAAAATTACAGACAGTAATGTTGTCGGTTAGTATAAAGAAAAGTCAGAGCCAGGTGGGAGGACAGTTTGGTATTTTCTCAAGAGGATGACTACACATTCACCATGTAACTCAGCAGTCCTCCTAGATACCTACTCAAGATCAGTGAAAACATATCCATATAAAACATGTTCATAGCATTATTGTCCATGTTTGCTCCCCCAGAAGAAACAATAGAATATACACCGATTGATGAATGGTAGACAAAATAGGACAGGACCATTTTACTTGTCAATAGAAAGGAATAAAGTAACAATACATACTGTGGTGTAGATTTAAAAGAAAAAGAATTTTTGTAACAAACTTGATTTGTGCAGGCTTATTTTCATCTCAATTTCTTGTTCTTGATAATGAGGACACTTTTCTTCCGGCAAAGCAAGGTGGGGGGTTTACACATAAGAATTTCATTTTCTGATTTCAGGAAGAAAAGGGAAGTGTTGAATGTCTCCTTCGAGTCTGTGTTTTGTTTTGTATTTAATGTCATTACTTCAAGTGAATTCTTATGACAAAATGGCATCTCTTGGATGAGCATATTCTTCCAGCTTTCCAAGTTATCATCTTATCAGTTCAAAAACGAACAAAAAAAAAAAAACGTTCCTACTTTCCTGTGTCTCATAGGCTTTGAATAACTGGTCCTTTTTTTTTTTTTTTTTTTTTTTTAGGAAAAGGGAGTTTTTCCTCTCAATGTCCTAACTGAATTAAGGCTTCCAAGTGTGTTTTACCCCATCCCTCAGTTTTTATTTTCTTGTATCAACTAACATTAACTAAATATATTTCTATATTTATTTGTTTACTTGTATGCATCTCTCCCATCTGAATAAAGTTTCTGTAGACTAAGAGCCACCTTATTACTCACCCTGCTATATCCCAACACCTAGACAGCACCTGGGAATCAATAATTTCTTTAAAAATGAATGAACCCCAACAACACTAAAGTTGTCCTAAAGTAAAATATACTATATTGAAAAGAGTATGTTGAGACTCAAGAAACTCACATCACCTGCCCAAGTCAGGCAAGATTCCTCATCAACTCTCCCAGGTTCTATCCCCATAGCCTTGATCTCACCCTGGGCCCATCACAGACAATGCCCTCCTTGACTTAGTTGAGAAAATTAAACTCTTCACTGCCTCATTAGGTCAGGTCTCTTTGAAGCATGGAGAGAAGCAATCACACAGTCACAGACTTCATCCTGGTGGGCTTCACAACAGACCCTGTGATGCAGCTGGTCCTGTTCGTGCTGTTCCTCGGCGTCTACTCTCTCACCCTCGTGGGAAATACCACCCTCATGGTGCTCATCTGCAATGACTCCCGACTGCACACGCCCATGTATTTTTTCATTGGCAATCTGTCCTTTCTGGATTTCTGGTATTCCTCTGTCTACACTCCGAAGATCCTAGTGACCTGCATCTCTGAAGACAAAAGCATCTCCTTTGCGGGCTGCGTAGCTCAGTTCTTCTTTTCTGCTGGGCTGGCCTATAGTGAGTGCTACCTGCTGGCCGCCATGGCTTATGACCGCTATGTGGCCATCTCCAAACCCCTCCTTTATGCTCAGGCCATGTCCATGAAGCTATGTACATTTTTGGTAGCAGCCTCCTATCTTGGTGGCTTTATTAACAGTTCCATCGTTACTAAGAAAACTTTTTCCTTCAACTTCTGCAGTGGCAATGTCATTGATGACTTTTTCTGTGACTTGCTTCCCCTGGTGAAGTTGGCTTGTGGCCAGAAGGATGACTACCATGCTTTAATGTACTTTCAGCTGGCCTCCAATGTCATCACCCCCACTGTGTTCATCCTGGCCTCCTACATGTTCATCATCGCCACCATCATGAAAATCCGCTCCACCCAGAGCCGTCTCAAAGCCTTCTCCACGTGCTCCTCCCATCTGATCTCTGTCACCTTGTACTATGGCTCCATCCTTTTCATCTATGCTCGTCCCGGCTCTAACTATTCTATGGGAACAGACAAAATAGTTTCTACCTTTTACACCGTCGTGTTCCCCATGTTGAATCCCATGATCTACAGCCTGAGGAATAAGGATGTGAAAGATGCTTTGAATAAAATTTTCAAATGAATCAAGATTCTCTCCTACTAAGGAGGTTGAAACTCAGTTTTCGATTGGGTGCATTTATGTGAAGAAGACATGACCCTTTGCTCCATCATGACCCAGGATTCTTAAATTACAAGTTAAAAAAATTCTACACATGATAATTCAAGAGACTTAGCATGGGAAAATTAAACCAGTTTAGGAGATAAACTTTGAATCTAAAATACAAGTATTTGAGTTGAATTAACTAATTAAAAAACAAAAGCAACTAAAGTCAAAAACTCCTCCTTTAAGTTCAGTACCTTAGTATAGGGATATTTTTGATGGATTCATACACATGGAGTGGTATCTATATAGTAATTTAATAGAAATAAAACAAATATGCTAGATTATTTCATAATATTTCATATAACTCTTAATTATTTCAAATATATCACTTTTGTTTCCTTAACAGAATAGAGATGGAGAACATATCAATGGCTCTGAGGGGTTAAGGGTAATGGCAGGAAGAGGGGTGTTAATGTGACTGTAACAGGCAGCATCAGGAAGAGCTTATTGGTGATAGAATATTCTTCTATTGATCTTCGTAGTGGTATCAGGAATGTGTGCATGTGATGAAGTGGAATAGAACTATACACACGTTGTATCAATGTCATTTTCATGATCGCAATATACCACAGTTAAGTAAAATGTATGAAACTGATGGGGTGAAGGGTATATGGGACCTCTGTATTCTAACTCTGCTACATCCTTTCAACTATCATTAAATTCACAAAACTTAATAAAGGTAAAATAAATTTAAATTTTTCAGGGCCTCCCTGGTGGCGCAAGGGGTTTAACACCGCACTATCAAGCAATCTGCAAGCTCTGCAGCATGAGTTTGATCCCTGACTGGCCAGGGAGCAACCCACATGGCACAGCAGAACTCTCCTGTCTCGCCTGCTGCTCCCCTCAGCAGTGTATTTCAGTCTGTCTGCCTGTTCTGCTCCCCAGTCTCTCTCTGGTGAATCCTCTCACCTCTTCCCCACATCTCTGGCCAGCTCTAGATGCATAAATAAATCTTTAAAAAAAAAAGAAATTTAAATTTTTCAGAAGAAAATAAAAACTCAGAGATTAAAATGTGCTTTCTCCACCAGAAACACTAGCACTAAACCCCCAAGGCACCACAAAATAACTCAGTGCAACCAGAATGAGTAAGCAGGAACTCTCCTTATATGTCTCTGACATATGTTCCTCAATAAAGGAAAAACTGGCCAAGTTCCCTTAGATACGATTTTTGTGAATCGCTGAATAACTGTCGGTGTCCCTCTCATATTTTATAGGAGTGGAGATTGAAGTATTCTTAGCATCAATAAACAATTATTATAATAAAAAACCTTGGTGACATGAATTAACTTGAGAAATAAAGGAGAAAAAATTTTTGAGGGAATAATACAGGTAGTGATAAAACAAAAACGTAAGCATGATAAGTTCTACTTAATTATGATTTTTAACAGTGAGGTAATATTAATGGAATGTATATTAATAAAATGTGAATAGGCCCTTGTTTTTATTAGTGTAAGCAGTTAAGGGGGAAAAAATAAGAAAGTGAAAATTAGGCAAGTGTTCCAAAAAATGTAGGAGCTCCACACAAAACAAGAAAGCTCGATCAGCACTGGCAGTCATAGCCTTTAACCTGAACACTAAATCCAAGGTATAAAGTCAATACTGATTACAACACGTATTAACCCAATAGAGGTAGGGCCCACCAGTGTAATCCTAACAGGTTTGAATTAGACAATGTCCTAAAATGGAAAGCTGTTTATTCAGACTGTCTCTCCCTTTCTAAAATATGTCAATTTGTCAATAATATAAAATTATTATAAATGGCCTCCCTGGTGGTGCAGGGATTAAAGTCTCAGCGCTATCAAGATATCCACAATCACTGCAGCATGAGCTCAATCCCAGGCCAGGGTGCTGACCCACATGGAGCAGCAGACCCCTCTGGTCTCTCCCACTGCAGTGTAATTTAGTAGATCTGCCTGTTTCACTTTCGACTCTGTCTCTGGTGAATCCTCTCCCCCACCCACCTCTGGCCTATACCCCATTTCTTGTATGCATAAAAAAAGAAATATAAATCATAAAAAATATTATAAAACACATCATTTTATTATGTCATGCTAAAAAGTCTAATTGGTATATTACAGGGGCAGAAAAGTATTATTATGTCACCTGAATAAAACTAGAAATACATCATTCCAGAGGGAAATATTAGCTACAAAGTGTAAATTGTTATAATAAATGCAGATTTAAAGCAACATGGTGACATGGATTCTTATATATTTTTATTTTATTTTATTTTGTATATTTTACATCATTTTTCATTTTTGCACAATGTATGCATTTTCATCTTGGTTATAGTCCCCATACAATTCCCACCCCCTTTATTTTGACCCTAATCCCTCCTTCCCTCCTCCCCTGTAGTGTGTCTCTGGTTTATAGTTACTTGTTGATTTTGATTTTTACTTTATTATAATTAGTCTTTTTCCTGGTCCCTTATTTAGGTTTTCTAGATTCCTGCTATGAGTGAGACCATCCGGTATTTTTCTTTTTCTTTCTGGCTTATTTCGCTGAGCATGATCCCTTCCAGGGCCATCCATGTTGCTGCAAATTGCATGATCTTATCTTTTTTGATTGCTGAGTAATATTCCATTGTGTATATGTACCACATCTTTTTTTTTTTGAAACTTTATTTTTTTTATTTTATTTTTTTATTAAATAATAAATTTTATTTTTATATTCCCCCATACAACTGCACATGCCCCATTCTGACCCCAATCCCTCCCCCCGGCCCCCACCCCCAAAAAGTGTCTCTGGTTCATAGTTTTTTGTTGATTTTGATTTTCACTTTCTTATAGTTATTCTTTTTCCTGATCCCTTATTTAAGTTTTCTAGATTCCTGCTATGAGTGAGACCATCCGGTATTTTTCTTTTTCTTTTTGGCTTATTTCGCTGAGCATGATCTCTTCCAGCGCCATCCATGTTGCTGCAAATTGCATGTGTTTATCTTTTTTGAATGCTGAGTAATATTCCATTGTATATATGTACCACATCTTCTTGATCCAGTCATATATTTTTGGGCATTTGGGCTGTTTCCAAAGCTTAGCTATTGTAAATAGTGCTGCTATAAACATAGGGGTGCAGGTGTTCTTTGGAATTGATGTTTCTGTGTCCTTTGGGTAAATACCTAGGAGTGGAATTGCTGGATCATATGGAAGCTCCATGTTTAGTAGGTCCAGAAATCTCCACACAGCTCTCCATAGTGGTTGGACCAGTTTGCACTCCCACCAACAGTGCAGGAGAGTTCCTTTTTCTCCACAACCTCGCCAACATTTGTTGTTGCTAGTTTTTTTAATATGTGCCATTCTCACTGGTGTAAGATGGTATCTCATGGTAGTATCACATCTTCTTGATCCAGTCATATATTTTTGGGCATTTGGGTTGTTCCGACAGCTTAGCTATTGTAAATAGTGCTGCTATACACGTAGGGGTGCAGGTTCCCTTTGGAATTAATGATTCTGTGTCCAAAACAGGGATAGCGAAGGCAAAGATAAACAGCTGGGATTACATCAAATTAAAGAACTTCTGTACAGCAAAAGAGACAGTAACAAAAGCAAAGCTATACCCCACCGACTGGGAGAAAATTTTTACACATAACACTAATGATAAAGGATTGATCACAAAAATCTACAAAGGGCTGAAGAGACTCAGCAAAAACAAAGTAAATAATCCAGTCAAAAAGTTTGCAGAAGAGCTAAAAAGGAACAACTTCTCCAAAGAGGAAATGCAAATGGCCAACAGGCATATGAAAAAATGTTTAGCATCACTTGTAATCAGGGAAACACAAATCAAAACTACAATGAGATACCATCTTACACCAGTGAGAATGGCACGTATTAAAAAAAAACTTAGCAACATTATGGTCAACTAATCTTTGACAAAGGAGCAAAGACTATGCATTGGAGCAAAGAAAGTTTGTTCAATAAATGGTGCTGGGAAAACTGGGTTGCTACATGCAAAAGAATGAAGCTTGACCACTACCTCACACCATATACAAAAATCAACTCAAAATGGATTAAAGAACTAGACATAAGACCTGAAACCATAAAATACATAGAAGGAAACATAGGCGAAACACTACGTGATTTGCATATCAAAGACATCTTTACAGACACATCACCCAAAGCAGTGATAGTGAAGGCAAAGATCAACAGCTGGGACTACATCAAATTAAAGAGCTTCTGCACAGCAAAAGAGACAATAACAAAAACAAAGAGAAACCCCACCAACTGGGAGAAAATTTTTGCACCCAACACTAATGATAAAGGACTGATCACAAAAATCTGCAAAGAGCTGATGAGACTCAACAACAACAAAGAAAATAATCCAGTCAAAAAATGGACAGAGGAACTAAAAAGAAACTTCTCTGAAGAGGAAATGCGAATGGCCAACAGGCATATGAAAAAATGTTTAACATCACTTGCAATCAGGGAAATGCAAATCAAAACTACCATGAGATACCATCTTACACCAGTGAGAATGGCACATATTAAAAAAACTAGCAACAACAAATGTTGGCGAGGTTGTGGAGAAAAAGGAACTCTTCTGCACTGTTGGTGGGAGTGCAAACTGGTCCAACCACTATGGAGAGCTGTGTGGAGATTTCTGGACCTACTAAACATAGAGCTTCCACAGGATCCAGCAATTCCACTCCTAGGTATTTACCCAAAGAACACAGAAACATCAATTCCAAAGAACACCTGCACCCCTATGTTTATAGCAGCACTGTTTACAATAGCTAAGCTTTGGAAACAGCCCAAATGCCCAAAAATAGATGACTGGATCAAGAAGATGTGGTACATATATACCATGGAATATTACTCAGCATTCAAAAAAGATAAACACATGCAATTTGCAGCAACATGGATGACGCTGGAAGGGATCATGCTCAGTGAAATAAGCCAAAAAGAAAAAGAAAAATACCGGAT